TTATTCCTCTTAGAATTGCGTGCACGCCACAGCCGCGATAAATAAATAAACAGATAAATCAATAAAAAGAATACATGTTTCTAACCCCATACGATACTGCAATTTGTAGCATCTGTGCATTTTTTTAAGGCTCTAAAGTTACCGATAGCCGATAAAAATAACGCAGAACTAATAATAGGCCTAGATTTAGATCTATGTAGACTATTTTGATAAGTGAAATGTTATCAATTCCAGATTTCCACTTAAAGACCAAGTATTACGTTCTTAATGGATTGCTAATATCCGGAGAGAAAATTGTGTTCCAAGTAAACATCATGTAGTTTGTAGTGAACATTTCCACAGTAAGGATTATGTCAGCGGTGGGTATTTTTTGTACTGTAACAAATAGGCCTAGGCCTTTAGGCTATCTTAAGGTGGATATAATTTATAAACCTGGTATACCAATTTTTAAAATAAACGTGTAAATGAATTAAAGATATGAAGTCTATAGTAGGGCAACCACATCTCGACAGGTTAAATCTCCTGTAAACGCTCATTAGTCTACAGTTCTTTACCTGTAATTTGAACAAATTTGGCATCTATATAAGGCCGATGCTAATAGATTCTTCGGTTTTCAACAAATTTTCACTGTTTTCACAATGGATTTGAGTTTCCGACTTTTTGGTTTTCATTTTATGTTATAGGAATCCACCCAAGAGTAGATTTTGAATCCTGCCTGCACGAATTACTTAAGAGTGCAATACCAACTATATTTCCAAATCACCCAAAGCATTTACAGATTAGTTTAAAATCCCGCCGTCCGCCAACTAAGAGAAGTTTACCACAACCAGATAAAGAAATACCATCGAGCAAGAAATATATTCCGGATCATGAGTATTACAAGAATCCCGATTACTTAGGAGAACAACTAAAAAAACTAAAAATGAGCTTGACAAAGAAAGAAAGAAGTTGAAAGCTGCTAAACAGAAAAGTAAACGAAGAGATGAGAAAATAATAAATATTTTGGGTGAGACAAGAGACAAAAACTTGATATCATCAAATGAATATGACTTATTAAATTTAAATTCCGGTGAAAACGCTTACACCATTTTTGAAAATGAGCTGAAATCAAAGGATGTTAATAAGCATGGTCAAAGATATTCTGAAAATTTGAAACAGTTTGCTGTAACCCTTCATTTTTATAGTCCACAGGCTTACGAGTTTGTGAGAACTGATTTGCATCTTCCCCATCCAGGAACGATAGGAAAATGGAGTTCAAGCCCTAACTGTTAACCTGGATTTCTAAGCGAAGTCTTAAATCATCTTAAGAACGTGGTTCTTGAAAGGCCAGACTCAAAGTATTGCTCTTTAATGTTTGATGCTATGGCGCTGAAGAAGGAAACTGTATACGATCCAAAGGATGGAAAATACAATTCGTTGACTGTGGAACATTCCAACCCGCCTGCGGCGATAGTTTGGCCACTGGGGCGCTGTTGTTCATGGTCGGTGGGCTAACAGGACATTGGAAGTATCCTGTCGCTTATTTTTTGACAGACCATTTATCAGGGAATGCACAGAAAGAAATATTGAAGCAGTTATTTCTACTTCTTCTTGGTCTGATAGTGAAGGCTGTTGTCTGTGACAGGTCTTATGCCAACCAATCAACGGCAGGTCTTCTCGGGTGTTCTCTTGTGGCTAATGAAATGAAGCATGATTTCCAACATCCATCTGAAAATGAAGAGAACAATAATATTAATTTCATATTTGATGCATGTCACCTAATTAAATTGGTAAGAAACAGTTTTGCAACATATTGCGATATCTACCACAACGGCAAAAATATTTCTTGGTCCTTTATTGAAATATTTAATGGTATTCAACTTACAGATTATCTGAATATAGCAAATAACTTAAATCCAAACACATTGAATGGAAGCACCACAAAATGAATGTAAAATTAGCCGTCCAAACGCTCAGTTCCTCAGTAGCAGACGCAATAGACTTTGCTCGGGATGATTTAGCTTTACCTGAATTTGTCGACAGTGGAAAAACTACGGAATTTATAAGAATAATTGACATGCTATTTGATTTTATGAATTCGAAATCGCCATGCTGAAAGGGTTATAAACAACCAATGAATTTTCACAATTTTCAATTCCGAAGAAAGAAATTAATGGAAATAAAGACATACCTGTCAGAGTTGAAAGACGGAGATTGTAATACTTTGTGTACCGGTCGTAGGAAAACAGCTTATGTAGGTTTTATGCTTAGTATTGATTCTGTACTGGATATCACCGAGCAATTGCTTACAATGGAAGTCCCATTTAGATACTTTTTAACTTACAAGTTATCACAAGATCACTTGGAGATGTTCTTTAGTCGTATTCGGAGAAGCCTAACAGTCTTCAATTCAAATGGTCACTAAGGGCATTTTTGATGTAAAATGCTATCATGCCGTCAAAGAATGCGAATGTTTCAATTGAAGAACCTTCAGAGGTTTTATTTTCGGAGACGGCTCCAAGCTCAGTACATCACACTCATAACCAAATGACTAAATTTGCAAAGTTATTATCAGATCCATCAGAATTTCACGACTATGTTTTATATTACATGTCAGGTTACATAACAAGGAATGTTGCAAAAGACTGTGTTTGTTTACTTCGCTTTGTACTTCTTCCATCTAAAGTGGACATTTATTCGACGAACATTTGATTGGTTGACTGCTCGAAAGGATCATGGAGGCCTAGTATATGCTACCGATGATATTTTCAAGGTTGTGAAAACTGTTAACAAGATAATAAGGTGGACGTTGGTAGTTTATAGATTTATCCTTTCGCATGATTAGGGGCGCCGTTTGATTTAAAAAAAAAATAAAATTCAATTTTTTTTCTCGCTTGTTATTTCAGATCAGAATTGCTAGCCATGGTCAATCCACTTCACACAGATAAAAACTTCATTGCAAATATTTGTTCTAAAGTTACTATTGAACTCAGAGGAACCATTTTCAAAGAACTGAATGAACACTTTCTTGATTGCTATTTTATGGAAAATGACCATTTTGCGCAACTTACAAAAGAAATAACATCTCTATTCACGGCAGCCACACGAGGAATATTACCGGGATTCCCCCAAGGGACATAAATCATGTCTTAAAAACATATGGTGTCTGCGAACGTAAATTTTCAATAAATAACTGGATATAGATGTAATTTTACTTCGACAAATCGAGAGAAGCAATGGAAAACGTTTTTTATTCATTCATCAAGCAATCACAAGGTAGCATGGGCGCAGCAATTGTGGACGGACGGGCGGACACATTGGTGACGGCAATGTACGCCCCCATTTCATGTGGGCGTATAAAAAGGAAAAAGATTAAAACAGATTTAAATTCCTCTTCCAGAACAAAAAATATACTGTTATTTTAGTCTTGTTGTCGAAGGCTCAGATTTGCTGTATTCATCAGTATACAATCCAATAAAGTAGCTGCGTTCACAAACTTCCAAAAAACAAGACAGAAGTCCATTGCAGTCAAGGTATAAGATGAACACCTCGTTGAATTTTAAAATAGTCATTTGTCTTCATATTTTCAAAGGTGGCAAAACGGTGGTAAGGGTAATTTTGATTGATGGGCGCGTTTCAGGTCGAGTTTTCGGATTAAAAGCAGAAATTCCAAAATATATAGCCTAACACCAAAAAGAACCTAAAGAATATTCAGTTATCTTAATATTTATACTAAAAGTGGCAAAACAGGATTAATAGTGGTTTTAATGTCGACAAGCTTGATATATATAACTAGTCTAAAAGTGGCAAAACGGGGTTAATAGTAGTTTTGATGTTGACAAACCTGATATTTCACTTGTGAAAATAAGCTTAATGGGGGTGTCTCAGGCCGAATTTTCAGATTGAAAGCAGAAATTCCGAGGTACTACACCTAGTGAAATCTAAAGAATATTGATTTATCTTAATATTTATCTAAATATTTAGTCTAAAAGTGGAAAAGGTGGAAAAACTGGGTTAATGGTAGTTTTGAAGTCGACAAATATGACTAAAAAGCCGAAATTTCGAGATACTACACCTGGTAGAATCTAAAGAATATTGATTTATCTTCATATTTATCCTAGTATAAAAGTTGCAAAACGGGTATAATAGAGGTTTTGATGTCGACAAACGTGACTTAAAGCTGCTTAACATTAGCTTTATTGGGGTGTTTCAAGTTGAGTTTTCGGATTAAAAGCAGAAATTCCGAGAAACTACACCTAGTGAAACCTAAAGAATATTCATTTATTTTAATATTTATCGTAGTCTAAAAGTGGCAAAACGGGGTTAATAGTAGTTTTGATGTCGACAAATGTGATATATAACTTGTGAAAATTAGCTTAATGGGGGTATTTCATGTCGAGTTTACGGATTAAAAGCAGAAATACTACATCTAGTAGAATAAAAAGAATATTCATTTATCTTAATATCTATTCTAGTCTAAAAGTGGCAAAACAGTAATATGGGTGGTTCTGAAGTTTCTTTCATTTGTCGTATTGTAATAATATTAACAATTGTCCTTTGTACACAGTCACTGGCCGGCCAAAAAAATTGGCCATTGGCCACAAAAATTGGCCAAAAAATTAGGGACGAAGCCCTAACTCAATATTTCTGCATAGGAATTTTTATCTTGGTCTGTAGGCTTGTGTAATCGCGAAAAAGAATAAGCCAGGAGTCTCTGATAATCTACTTACCTTGTGATTGCCTGATAAATGAATAATAAACGTTTTCCATTGCTTCTCTCAATTTGTTGAAGTAAAATTACATCAATATCCAGTTATTTATTGAAAATTTATGTTCATAGACACAATGCGTTGTTATGACATGATTTATGTCCCTTGGGGGAATCCCGGTAATTTTCCTTGTGTCGCTGCCGTTGATTGGCTGAATAGCGAGGATGAGTCAAAAAGTTCAATATTCTTATTTTCTGCTGGCTATCGACTGCGAACTTGATCTTAGTTATTGTCTTCAAAACTTTATTGTCTGCCCAGTTGATCTCAACCCTTTTTGTTGTTTAGTGTATTTTTCCAAGGATTTTCCAGCAGCTTGTTCTTGTTCATGGAATTTTCAGGTGAAGTCATGACTTTTATTAAAGTTAGAGGAATACTACCTCTTAGAATGGACATAAAATTTGAAGTCTCAAACTTGGTCGATAAGTAGGCTCTAGAGGTACTGTCAAGTAACTTAATTTCGTGCTAACCTATTTTTCGTGCATCTCCGGAAATGATTAAAGTGATACTACGTCCTAGAATTAACATTAAATTTAAGAATTTTTAACTTTATAAGAGCCAGTAGATATACCTGGTGTCATAAATAACATAACAGGGTCCTTATATAATCCGATAAATCCAAAAAACTTAGTACAGTGGTGTAACCTATTTTGCATATATACAGTGGTGTAACCTATTTTCGTGATTATAAGGATTCAACACCGAATTTCGTCAAAGTTAAAAAAACGAAAAAAAAATTTTATGTCTTAGATGTTTCCTCAGATACTCTACAAAATAATTAAAATTGGTTTGTTTCTATTTTCTTTATGAATCCTTCACTTCGACCCATATTTGATGAGCAACCAACTCGACAACGGCGGCAAAATGCGTCACCTATTTTTGTGTACAATGTTTGATCTATAAATAAGTCGAGAAAAACACGTTGTATGGATACCCAGTGGTATAATTAACTTCTCTTAATATTTATCTTTAATATCAATTTATTATAACTAATGACAATTCCTTGAAAGAACCATGATTTAAAAAAAGATAACTTGCGATGCTTGTCAGAAATAATGAAACAGTCTTTAGTGACCAATGTACGAATTTTCTCATATTGAGAATTGAGGTGGGCGTGGTACATCCGGGTTAAATTACTCATTATTGACATTTTTGGCAAGGGACATAACTCGCAGCGTATACATTTGTTCAAAATGGAACTTTGCATACATTTACTTCATCTACTGAGCCACGTTGTCTTAGAAGTTCGATTGTTTTAGCTTTATAGTTCAAAAAAAGGAACAGGTTTTGAAAATTCAAAATTTTAAATTTTTGACCTTGACCTATTTTGACCCTGACTTTTGTAGGATCAAAGGTCATTCACATTGGCTATCTATTTATACTTTTATATTTGCTGTCCTATCTCAACTTCGGGTTTTATAGTCGTATATATTTCAAAATTTTGATGACTTGTATCTCGTAACCTTGACCTTTGTTGACCGTCTCCTTTTCAATGTCAAATGTCATTGAGCTTGGCTATCTTCTGATACTTTCATTTGTGAGGTCTGTCTACTTCCGGTATAACAATCTTCCAAAGAATCAAAACTACTCAACTTTAGACTGTTCTTGCACGTGATGTAATTATCGTAGAAGGTTGATTTTTTCAGAGTCTTTTGCACTTTGCTACATTTGCAAAGTCCCACTCTGTGCCACGTGTGGCTCTAGTTTATGTTTGTGATCAAGTAAGACTAGAATCGTATTAGCTAAATAGATGGTGTTCTAAATATAAGCATATTGTTATTTTAATTTATTGTAATGTTCACAATGTCAAGCTATTACAAACTTCATCTTCACAATATCAAGCTGTTAAAAACTACATCTTCACAATGTCAAGCTGTTACAAACTTCATCTTCACAATGTCAATCTATTACAAGCTACTTCTTGACAATGTCAACCTATCACAAACTTCATCTTCACAATGTCAAGCTATTACAAACTACATCTTCATAATGTCAAGCTATTACAAACTTCATCTTCACAATGTCATGACCTATTTTGACCTTTCATGACCTTTGACCTGGATTACCTCAAAGAATTGGGACTTATAGATAGTGCCAATTCACACTAATATAATATAATACACTAATATTTAGCAATTTTGAAACCTCCTGGTTTGAGTTCATTCAATTCATACGGTCATACAGAGTCAAGTCTATGAATCCACAGAGTTTCTGCACTGTCTAATTTGCTTTTGCTTTCATTTGGAATTTTCTCAAGAAGTGTGCATTTATAATCATGACCATCATGAGGAGCTTTATTAACCTTTTTATACGCCCACATGAAATGGGGGGCGTATATTGTGGTCACCCATGTCCGTCGGTCCGTCCGTCCACAATTGCTCGTAAACACTCTACAGGGCACAATTCTTGACGGATTTTAACGAAACTTGGTATGTGTGTTCGCAATCACCTAAGGATAACCCTATTGAAAATCAGCGAAATCGAAAAATATTTAGCATGAATTATTGCCCTTGTTAATTTTTAGCTTGTAAAAACTTGACAGATTTTGACGAAACTTGGTATGAGTGTTTGTAATCACCCAAGGATAAACCCTATTGAAAATCAGCGAAATCGAAAAATATTTAGTATGAATTATTGCCCTTGTTCTTGCAAACGCGTTCAATTTTTAGCACGTAAACACTCTAGAAGGCACAATTCTTGACAGATTTTAACGAAACTTGGTATGAGTGTTTGTTATCAGCCAAGGATAGACCCTATTGAAAATCAGTGAAATCGAAAAATATTAAGTATGAATTATTGCCCTTGTTCTTGAAAACGCGTTCAATTTTTAGCTCGTAAACACTCTAGAAGGCATAATTCTTGAAGGATTTTAACGAAACTTGGTATGAGTGTTTGTAATCACCCAAGGATAGACCCTATTGAAAATCAGCGAAATCGGAAAAATATTCAGTATGATTTATTGCCCTTGTTCTTGAAAACGCGTTCAATTTTTAGCTCGTAAACACTCTAGAAGGCATAATTCTTGAAGGATTTTAACGAAACTTGGTAAGAGTGTTCGTAATCACCCAAGGATAAACCCTATTGAAAATCAGCGAAATCGAAAAATATTTAGTATGAATTATTGCCCTTGTTCTTGCAAACACGTTAAATTTTTAGCTCGTAAACACTCTAGAAGGCACAATTCTTGACAGATTTTGACGAAACTTGGTATGAGTGTTCGTTAACACCCAAGGATAGACCCTATTGAAAATCTGAAAATCAGCGAAATCGAAAAATATTAAGTATGAATTATTGCCCTTGTTCTTGAAAACGCATTCAATTTTTAGCCCATAAACACTCTAGAAGGCACAATTCTTGAAGGATTTTAACGAAACTTGGTATGAGTGTTCGTAATCATCCAAGGATAAACCCTATCGAAAATCAGCGAAATCAAAAAATATTTAGTATGAATTATTGCCCTTGTCATTGAAAACGTGTTCAATTTATAGCTCGTAAACACTCTAGAAGGCACAATTCTTGAAGGATTTTAACGGAACTTGTTATGAGTGTTCGTAATCACCTAAGGATAAACCCTATTGAAAATCAGCGGAATAAAAAAATATTTAGTATGAATTATTGCCCTTGTTCTTGAAAACACGTTCAATTTTTAGCTCGTAATCACTCTACAGGGCACAATTCTTGATGGATTTTAACGAAACTTTGTATGAGTGTTTGTAATCACCCAAGGATAAACCCTATTGAAAATCAGCGAAATCGAAAAATATTTAGTATGAGTTATTGCTCTTGTTCTTGAAAACACGTTCAATTTTTAGCTTGTAAACATCCTAGAAGGCTCAATTCTTGACAGATTTTGACAAAACTTGGTGAAATCGTTTATTATCACCCATGGATGAACCCTATCGAAAATCAAAAAAATCTGAATATGTTTCATAGGAGTTATTGACCTCGTTCTTGAAAACGTTTTCAAATTTTAGCTCTTTAACACTAAAAGGCACAATTCTTGCCGGATTTTGACAAAACTTGGTTTTATTATTCAGTACCATGCTGAAGATTGAATATTTGCCTTCTAGAGTTTTCACAAGCTAAAAATTGAACATGTTTTCAAGAACATGGGCAATAACTCATACTCAATATATTATTCATATCGCCCTAAAGAATTCAAAAGAAGTGTATGACTGAAGGTTGAATATTTCATACTAGTGATTCTTACTGTACTGCTAAATATTTTTATTCATAAACAAAGCTGTCAGTGGGCGTATATTACCTTGCCTGGCAAGCTATCTTTCAATTTAATGTTGCTCCTATGTTTGTTATGTCTAATATTGAAGGGAGTTATTGTCTGGCCAACATACTGAAATTTACATAATTCACAAGTAAGGCAATATATAACAAAATTACTCTGACAATTTAAAGAGTCTTTGATATAAAATGATCATGAGTGTCTATTGGTGATTGTGTTAGTTGTGTTCATCTTTTCACAAGTTTTGCACTTGGGTTTATTTTAAGGTACACATCCCACACTTTTAGAAATATTCACATTTTCTACACACTGTTTTAATTTATTTTCCCTTAATAAATTTCCCAAGGTCCTATTCCTGCGTCCTGCCACAATGATATACCTTGTTTTTAATATGTCTGTCATTCTGTAGCTTTTAGTTAAAATATCTGTGTCTTTGGCCATTTTGTGTAGATTTGGTTGTTGTGGATCATAGGTGTCCATGGAATAATCTTCATTTATTTTCATCTTCTTCTGCTTGGTGTTGGGGAAATAGCAGTTCATGGCGTGATCTTTCCCTTGCTTTGCTAAAGGCAGTTTCTACAATGTGGTCTTTATATCCAGAATTCTTCAGATGTTTAACAAATTGAAATAATCTATTGTTTCTTTCACTACAAATTCTTCGTATTCTGAGTGCACCACTGAAAGGTATTGATTTAAAAGTATGTCTAGGATGGCAGCTGCTAGGTGGTAGATAGTGGTGGCTAGCTGTTTCTTTACAGAATAGATCAGTTTCTAATCTGTTACCCTCTTTAATTACTTTTACATCTAAAAAATTCACTTTATCTGTGTCAATATCCATTGTAAATTTAATTTTGGGGTGAAGATTATTCAATTTGTGTAAAAATTTGTGAGATTCTTCTGGTGATTTAGTAGACTGAGCCCAAATGTCATCAATAAATCTACAGGATATGTCTGGTTTTTCAGATAAAGAATTCCAAAATTTATTCATCCAATAGGTCATATAGATTTTGGCATATGTAACTGCAAAGAGTGTCCCCATTGATGTCCCAGATATCTGTCTGAAGAAGTTCCCATTGAATTCAAATTCATTGTTGTGCAGAA